TATGAGGATCTTCACAAAGCTCTCTGCACCACTCTGCCTCCTTTTTGTCTTCCTCTGTCTTAAAACTGCCTTCTCAACAACACATCTCTGCTCTCATGAGGAGGCTCTTGCTTTGCTTCAATTCAAGACATCCTTCTCCATCAATTACACTGCTTCTGATCCAGATTATTGTGATTATCAACCTAATTATTCTAAGATTGAGTCATGGAAGGAAGGTATAGACTGTTGTTCCTGGGATGGGGTTAGCTGTGATAATGTCACAGGCCATATAATTGCCCTTAATCTCAGCTGCAGTTTCCTTTATGGCACCTTTCCTTCCAACAGCACTCTTTTCTTCCTCAGAAACCTGCAGAGCCTCAATCTTGCCTTGAATGATTTTAGGCTTTCCAAGATTCCACCAGAAATCAGTCAGTTTACTAGACTAAAGCATCTTGATGTCTCTTCTTCTCAATTTTCGGGCCAAGTTCCGAGAGAAATTGCTCACCTCCCCAAGTTAGTTTCTCTCAATCTCTCTTACAATTGGGACTTGATCCTTGAAACAACTACCTTGAGATATCTTGTTCAAAATTTGAGTGAGGTGAGAGAACTTGTGCTTAGTGGACTGAGCATGACATCTGTTAATCCTCGTTTCTTCATGAATCTCTCTTCTTCTTTGACTACTCTTCGTCTTTTTAATTGTCAGTTAAGAGGAAACTTTCCAAACAGTATTTTCCGCTTTCCAAATCTCAAGAGATTTAGTTTAGGTGGAAAGGGAAACCTCACTATTGATCTTCCAAGTTCCAATTGGAGTAGTCCTCTCCAAGATTTGTATTTAGTTGATATGGACCAAGATTTGTATTTAGGTGATATGGATTGCGGAAGGCGATTGCGAGAGTCTATAGGAGATCTAAAGTCATTACAGTATCTGAGCCTTGGCTGCAACTTGGAAGGTTCCATTCCAGCTTCCATAGGGAACTTATCTCAACTTACTTACCTAAGCCTCTCTTATAACAATCTTAGCGGGCAAATCCCATCATCACTTGCAGACCTCACACAACTTACCTGTCTTTACCTTTCCAATAATCAGTTTTCTGGTCCCATTCCAGCTTCCATAGGTAACTTAAGGCAACTTACTAGCCTAGACCTCTCTTCTAACAATCTTAGCGGACAAATCCCATCATCACTTGCAGACCTCACACAACTTACCTATCTTGACCTTTCCAATAATCAGTTTTCTGGTCCCATTCCAGCTTCCATAGGTAACGTAAGGCAACTTACTAGCCTAGACCTCTCTTTTAACAATCTTAGCGGACAAATCCCATCATCACTTGCAAACCTCACCCAACTTACCTCTCTTGACCTTTACAATAATCAGTTTTCTGGTCCCATTCCAGCTTCCATAGGTAACTTAAGGCAACTTACTAGCCTAGTCCTCTATTCTAACAATCTTAGTGGACAAATCCCATCATCACTTGCAAACCTCACCCAACTTACCTATCTTTCCCTTTCCGATAATCAGTTTTCTAGTCGCATTCCAGCTTCCATAGGTAACTTATCTCAACTAATTGACCTAAGCCTCTCTTCTAACATTTTTAGCGGACAAATCCCATCATCACTTGCAAGCCTCACCCAACTTACCTATCTTTCCCTTTCCTATAATCAGTTTTCTGGTCCCATTCTAGCTTCCATTGGTAACTTATCTCAACTAACTTACTTAATGCTCTCTTCTAACAATTTTAACAGACAAATCCCATCATCACTTGCAAACCTCACCCAACTTACCTATCTTTCCCTTTCTTATAACTTACTTAATGGCACGTTGCCACCTTGGATTTTCACCCTACCTTTGTTAGAGTACTTGTTTCTTAGTCATAACCAATTTCAAGGTCAAATAAATCAATTCCGGCCAAACTCCATGTTCTCGGCGTTTCAAAATCTCAAAATTCTTGACCTTTCTCATAACAGCTTAATTGGGAAGATTCCAAATTGTCTTCCTAAGTCTCTCTCAGTGTTGAATTTGCAGGCCAATTACTTTGATGGAAATATAGCATTTGGGTTTCCAGAGGGCTGTGGATTACGAAATCTCAACTTACATGGAAATCAAATGGATGGCTTATTACCAAGGTCTTTGGTGAATTGTCGCATGTTAGAGGTTCTAGACGTTGGCAACAACAACATAGGTGGTACATTCCCTCATTGGTTGGAATCTCTACTAGACCTTCAAGTGCTTGTCTTAAGGTCCAACAAGTTCCACGGTTCTGTGCAGAGCACCAAACAAAGTCCATCTTTTCCTAAGTTGCGAGTTTTGGACCTCTCCAGCAATGATTTTCGTGGCCCTTTGCCTGTTCGGTACATTGAAAATTTTAAAGCGATGATGGACCTTTATAGAGATGAGGATTCTCCGGAATACATGAATGTCAGTTCTTATCAATGTTCAGTGGTTGTGACATGGAAGGGATTCGACTATGAGCTGCCGGGAATCTTGACCGTATTCAGTAGTATTCATCTCTCAAATAACATGTTTGAGGGAGAAATTCCAGATGTTATTGGAAAGCTTAGTTCTCTCAAAGGGCTTAATCTTTCTCATAACAACCTTACTGGTCATATCCCACCGTCACTA